CTAATAATTTGGGGAGTTAACTCTTGAGGGTATTTGTGGTTTCCTAGGATAACGGCGGGGGTATTTTTGATCCCAAAATGTAATGGAGGGTATAAATGATCTATTTCACATAGTTTAGGGGCATTTTTGACCCTTTTCCGATTTAAATAATATAGTATGATATAATACAACATAATACAATATAAACTAATACGTAACCATCATCGCAACATAATGGTTATGCCCTTGAGTGTTGAGGTAAAAAATATTACTAGCACTTTGTATACTGTTTAATATTTTTATATTTAGTTAACCAATATTTTTTAACAAAAAAACTTCAAAAATTAGGGGAAATATCTTTTTGGTATAAGAAAATTAAGTTTTATAAGTGAAATTCTAACGTTAAGTTTCTTCTATAATATTTATCTAGATTATGTAGAAATTTTTTGAGAATATATAGATTGCTTGTTTTTTTAAAATTCTAGAAAATAAATTTAAAAATCACTTCTTTTTCAAAAAAAAATAAAAATTTAGTAAATGTGTTACCTAATTAGTACTTATATTAAATTAATAAATATAAATATATTTATTATTTAATTATGATTAAATGACATGAATTTATACTTAAATTCAAAATTAACTTATTTGATTTAATATAAAATTTGGTAGGTGTAAATGATTATGAATTCACGTTCCCATCATCTTTCGTAAAATAAAGTCCATAAGTATTTATTTAATGTCCCATGTGAGGAATAAGTGAGGAAAAAGACATCCCAATAACAAGGAGTTAAATATTTAATTATTTAGCATAGTTGAGGGGATGAAGGCAATAATTAATTGTAAATATAGAAGTAAAACGAACGGTACGATGTCGTTTTAGTGATGAGTTTGAATATTTCTTAACATTATAATTAAAAGAATATTAATGAAGAATTGTATTTGGTGTTGGAGCAAGGAAAGTGAGACTTCAAAGCAAAGTTTGGTGATGTTGACTTATCAATACCTTTTATTATATACTTTCGATTTATATTTTGAAAGAAATAAAATTAGGTATATGTTCATAAATATCCGTATATAAATAAGTTAATCATATTATATATACATTAGCTTCAATTAATATTCTCTCTCAAGCAATAAAACTCTCAAATATTTGAGATTTCTTCTTAACTTCACAACTATTACAATTTCACGTTTATGTCATATGAAATATATATTTTGATAATGTTCATGACAAATAAGCATGATATAACGAAGCAATTACTTTAAGATTATATTATACTAAAGTATTTGCATTTTCCCCTACTTGTATCCATTCTAATTTCCACTATAAATACTGCTTCTTGAATTATTATAATTATTCGATCTAAGTTAAAATTAATGTCATTATTCATCAACTCAATCAAGAGTTCTGGATATGATTCGATTTTTCTCTTTTTGGTTTCAACTTATTCAATTTCATAACTTTGGTTTGGTTCGATTTATATAGTGAATAATAACATTTTTTTGTCTTTTACAAAAAAAGGACAAAATACTAAACTAAAATACCATATTGAATTGAATTTTAATTACATTAAAGGGGAAAAAATTTAAAAGATTAAAAATTCTAATTTAATTTCTCATCGTCACAATATGGCATAAAAATGACACTATCTGCAATATTTTATATCTCTGTTTGATTTAATAAATTATTATAAAACGTAAACTAAAATATCATATTGAATATCAAAATATAAAATATTAAATACCATATCAAATATGTGACAAGATAAGTATTCAAGAGTATCATTATCATAGAATTTGAAGTGAATATATCGAATTTGGAGTCATTTGAGGTTGATTAACAAATATTTGAAGAAAAGCGTATTTATGTATTTCTACACAATTATCACAATAAACCATCATAATTAGACCACAAACATGGAAAAGATCATGATAATCAGTTAAAAGTTTGGTTAAAATTTAAATATTGATACTGAAATTTTTTTCTTTGCGCAAATTATCCATGTTCAATGTTTTTGGTCATACGGTCCATTTTGAATTGGATTACTATTAATAACTAGCGAAATTTAAAAATTGTAATAGAATGATAAGTATTAGTTTTTGTAATTAATATATTAAATTTGAATTTTATGTATGAAATTATCTTCGTTAAAAAATTCTTTATCCTTTCTAATATATATCTAAATTCAATCGAGTTATAATATAAAAATAAAAAATCACATGGGAACAAAAAATAAAATAAAATAGAAGACCTTCTAGGCATTGACTAATATGTCTTTAATTCATACGCAAACAATGACAAACAATCAAATAAACAAACAAAAAAATTGTGGAAGAAAGTTGTCCTTTTGTCTTTAAGTTTTGAATTTTAAAATGCGATAATTATAAGGGTTAATAATTGAGTTTTAAATTTAATATATAATAATAATAATAATAAAAGAAATTAGCAATGAATTGAAAAGGATAAAGTGTATTTATATCTTATTTTTATTTTATAAAGATAATAGAAAATTAATTTCGAAAGATTTTTTACTTAAATATCAATGTAGATATAGTATACTTAATAAATTTTTAATATAATATACTATTTAAATAAGTTCCTAAGTTTGAATGAATTGTAGTTGAGCTTAATTATCATGAATTCAAATAAGTGTTCTTATTCAAAATTATTATTTATGTAGAAAATTATATAATTTTACAATTCTGAATAATTGACAGGATTTAATGGTAAATTATTTATATTTTACAAGAGTAAAATACACATTCACCATAGTATAGAATGATGTGCTTCACATGGGTTTGCATGTGGCAATATTAAAATCTAATTAATAGTTGTAAAGTATTTGATCTGAACTTTCCTGCTTTCCCACTGCCTTTACATATTTTATATTCCCTATGTTTAAATTTGTTTATTCAACAAAATTTTAAAAAATAAAGTTTTTTTTTTTGAATTTTATAGTCTTAAATTAGATTTTATGTCAATATTAAATATTTTTAAATTTTATTATCTTAATAAACATGTCATGTGAAAAGTTAAAATTAAAAAAATATTTTAAAAAATAGTACAAACAAACTGAAACAGATAGAGTAATACAAATACATCATTCAACTAAATTAAAACTATTGAATTTCGCTGAATTCGTAATCAAAACACTAGTTCTATCCGTAATTTAGAGATAGATCTAAGCATGTGATATACGAGTTCACATAAACTAAATAATTTTTGTTCAAAATTTATATGTATTTTTAAAAATTCACTCAGTATTATAATTATAATTTAAATTGTAAACCCAATTATTATCATACATGAGAAAATTCATAATTTTCAAATCTTAAATCCACTTCTAATCTAAATTAGTGGAACGCATGGGGTCTTATTTTATCATACAAGTACTCAATAGTGTAGTTAGATTTTTCATTAAATAAATTCAAAATATATATATACACACACGCACATAAAAAAGCGAAAGAGTGCTCAATATTATTATATACACATAAAAAATAAATTTTAACCATAAAAATAAATATTATAATTTTCCTCCAATTATTTTTAGATAAACTCTTGATTCTACCTGACTCTGCCTGCTATTTTTTTTTGAGCAACTTTCACATATAGCAAACATAAAATCATATTTGTATGTTATAGTTATACTTTGCATAATTGCGCTCCATAACAAATTTTATGTTTGCTATGGAGTTTTTGATTTGTATAATTCGCTAGATACATCCAATTTTATACAAATTGTTCATTTTTGTATAAATTCATTTATACATTGTAATTTGTATAATAAGATCTGTATTTGTATAACTATAAGTGTATAGGACGAAAATATATGTATTTGTATTTGTATATACACTTTTCTCTCGCTTTATACAAACACAAACACATTTTATACCGAAATGTATAAAATGACTAATTGTATACCGAATCAGATGACAAAAAAAAGGGATGTTTGCTGCGAATTACAAATAAAATAAACTATGACTATAACATTTAATTTGAATTAATAGTTTGCTATT